TCTTGGGCCCCTTTACCTTCAAGCAGCTTTTAGAAGAATACCCTTCAACAAAAGCATGCACTCTCGAATATTTGGATTCATGAACTAGTTTACCTGCTGGTCCAAAAGTTTCTGAAGACTTTTCTAAAATCCCGGTTGGATCAGAAATGAGTGAATAGAAGTTCAGCAGTTTATACATATTTTGCCAGCACTCAGCAGAAGGTTCACTCTGTTCTGAAACCGTGATAGAGTCAGAGTCATCCATATGAATAGTCATGTGGTCAACTACATCTTTTGAACCTTTCCTGGACACTTTAGAAGTTCTTCTTTCTGACCTCCCCAAGGAATTCTTGTTTCGAGACTCTTTTTTATTGTTCTCATTATTTGATCTTTTGTTCTTGGTGTTGTTCACTCTGTTACCTCCATTAAGACTTCCTCGAGAGCTTCGGCTGAAATCAGAAGAGCGGAAGTCTCTGTGTTTGCGGGTTTTAAAAGTAGGCGTTGGAGAGGCCGATCCAGCTGTGTATCTGCTAAGTTTGATGTCCGTCTGTGTGGCTTTGATATCATCAATCATTGTGCTGAACTGATGAATGAGACGAACCAGTGCCATATCTACGTGCTGGCTTATAGACTGGCACGAAATTGTAAAATTACAGTGAAAAGTATTATAATAGCGTTTATTCAAGTCGTGAAAAGAAAGGGCGTTGGTGGAGTTATGAGGTGTGCACATGGATTTCTCCATTACAACAGCACTAATACTGAAAGTTTCTAACATCAAAGCAGGTTTGAACTCAAGAGGAGGAAGATTGACAGCTCCTTGCCTAAGGAAAGGAAAGGTACAAGTTAATACTATTTCTCTTTTTATGGCTAGCATGGAGTCAAATACTTTTTACACCATGGTACATCTACTTTACTGAATCCAATCCTTCATTTCCATTAGTTCTAGATATCAAAATGAATTTTTATACTTTCATATTGCATGCTGCTAACACAGTACTCATTCAGTTCCATGTAAACTTTGGCATGCAATCTTTCCATCATAACCTAAAGCTTTGCTGAAGGGGCAGGGGGTGGAATTCAGCATTTACAGTGAAAGTAATAACCTCATTTTAAGGATCAATCACAAAATAGCATTTAAAAGCTTCTCAAATTTCCCCCACAATTATTTACATCAGCTCTCCCCTTCCCCAAACTCCAATTTTCAAAAGTAGCCGAGGTTCAAATACTTAAAATTTCCAAACCATTCCATGAGAAGAAAAAAAAAATCTAACAGGAAAAGAAAACAGATAAGATTAAAAGAATAAACAACTGCTCCTCATTCTATGGAAGCTGTTTAGTATTCTGTGTCTCCACATGAAAAATGTAATTGCTGTTCTTTAACCAATAAAGATCTCACACCGTATCTCACACCATACCTTCGAGCTCGCTTGCTTTTTCTTTCCTTTGCTGTATCTGAATCAACAATATCTGCTCTTAGGCAGTCCAAAGTTCCTGAGAATGAAAGGTACTCTCCGAAGTACATCCTGTAGCAGAGCGGCATTGCATCCTGAGACTGAATTCCGGTGTAACTTAGAAGAGGTTTGAAAACAACCTACAAAACAAAACCCACTGATTTACTTGTTGTCTAGATTATTCCTATATTCTTGCTCCATCATTTGTTGAACTACAATATTTACAATGATAGCTACATAATACAGAACATTTTCAAGTTTTATTGACAGTGCTGTGAGACAAAAGGGGGATAAAAGGAGCAGCTTTATGGACTTTCTGAGTAAAAAGAGTGACTACATAGCAAGGTAGCATCAAATGCTTAGGTACAGGAGCAAGGTTTCTGCAAATTCCCCTCAGTAAAAAGGACTCTGGAGAACTAGATTACTCTCATATATGCTCCAGTATGTTCTTTGAAGTTAGTGACAGAATGAGGGGTAACGGTTCTAAGCTGGAAGAGGGTAGATTTAGACTGGATCTCAGGAAGAAATTCTTTACTGTGAGGGTGATGAGACACTGGCACAGGTTGCCCAGGGAAGCTGTGGATGCCCCCTCCCTGGAAGTGTTCAAGGCCAGGTTGGATGAGGCTTTGGGCAGCCTGGTCTGGTGGAAGGTGTCCCTGCCCATGGCAGGGGGGTTGGACTGGGTGATCTTTAAGGTCCCTTCCAACCCAAACCGTTCTATGATTCCAAGTTATAAAACAATGCCTTATTAATCACCATTCATAAAGCTTGTTGTGGAACACCTCAGAGGTTTCTTATGCCTTTCATCTTCGCATAGGAATGCATAAGAAACATGTACAAGAACAGGGTAACGCTTTCATCATTGTAGTATTTTTTTTAAAGTAGTAACTAGTTTTTCCTTACAAGAACTCCAAAATACATCAGCAAACCACACCTACCTGTGCATCTGCTAGCTGGACTGCAGGAAATCCCTGGTTACCCTCTTCTACACCTGCAATGTCATCCTGACTGGTGCTGTGCTGTGAGTGTGTGCCATCCAGGGTGTTCTGGTCACTAGACAGAACTGTGTTGAAGTCTGAAGCAGAGGGTATTGTAGGAAGATTGGGTGCCACACCTAAAAAATAAATACCCATGGAACACTAACACCACAGCAAATTTTAATGCCACCAACTCTGTTAACTCAGCAAGGTTAATTATATAGAAACACATGCGATACACATAGAAAGTCAGAGTCCTAGGCAGGTCTATAACCTCACAGAAATGACATTCAGGATGAAGAAACAGTCTGATATTGCTGAAACAGGTAATAAATAGAGATAGTCCAATGACTATTTGGAAAGCACAAAAATACTTTATTATTTTTGCCCTCCTTCCCAAAGCCTTTTGTCTGTATTGTATTCTTTAGGATACTTAACACCTGTTTAAATTGAAATAGTTTATAGGCTGAGTTGCCTATACCATCAACAAAAAGCAAAGATTATCCACGGATGCAGATACTTGCTTTTAGCTTTCACTGTGCTATCAGCTCCTGTGTTTTATTAGTCACATGCACGACCCACTAATTAGATCTCTCTCACAGTCATAAAAATGACAACCACTTCCCTGCAGTTGCTCTATTCACAAGCAATCAGACATGCAGCACAAGGGCAAAGCGATGCTGAACTGCCTGCATCTTGAGTCTGGTCTGGACTCAACCTCCACGAGACAGAGCTGCTCTGCAAGTCAAGCTCTGTAAGCCAAGGCTGATTCTTCAGAACTCAAGCTTACAGCACTTATCAGAGAGCCATGACTACACGCCTCCACAGAAAATTGATTTGGATAGATCTGTGTTTGAGTTAAAATCACAAAGTAAATTCAGGAGCTTGTGAACAAACCATTATAGTTTGAGCAGAAAAAAAAATAAAAAATCTTCCGAAAACAAAATTGAAAGCTATACTTCTGCCCTATGATTCTTTCTGCAGAGAAGCACATTCCAGTTTACTGGAGAGCCACACTAGTTAAGCAAGGTGTACATCACAAAGATGTTTTGTAGAATCAGACTATTTGTTCTATATTAAAAACAAATTTAAAACAACTTCTTATTGCCTAAGATTAATATATTATGATTAAAAGAGTGTTAACAGAAAAAACATTCAAATTTAGTATTGGTGAAAATGAAATTATGAATGATGACAGGCTTACAAGAATAATAAATAAGCTGTAATAAATTGTTATATATCTATTTCTTTTAATACACTGAAGACTTTCAGTAACATAGATATTTTTTTCTCTGCATTCCCTTACACCAGTTGACCACTTCCCATCCATGAAGAACTATACTCTCAAAACAGATGTTTATGTTTTGTCTCAAAAAAACAGAAAAAGAGAAAGGATTCCAATGTACAAAATCTTCACTACAAAAACAGTATATGCAAATGAGAGATTAAGAATTACTAACAAAATCCAAGGAACTCTGCAACTGAGGATGATTTTATGGCTTAGCTTTTGGTGGCTACACACGTTTTTGGCAGCTTCACTTACAGTTCCAAATGTAAGAAAAAGCCACATTTTTGGAGGCAGGGTGAGGGAAATGAAAACAACAGTTTTAATCACATTTGTTCATCTTCTGGTTTGTGAGAAGTCCCACAAGTAGTGTTTACATCTGCTGAACTTAAGTCTCTTGCTCAATTACTTTCAGAAAGAATGTGGTAAACATAGGAACAGTCAACCCAAAATCATCTCTTAAATTCAGCTGTAATTAGCAATACCTGTTGGAAGACTATTGTGTCCAGATTTGGTGGCCGGACTTTCTTGCACTACACTTCCTCTGTTGCCAACAGCATTTGACATCCAGTTATAGAAACTCACAGAAGATGGTTCAGACAGCAAAGGATGCTCAGATAACATGTCTGTAGCCACAGTATTTCCTATACAGGTAAGTCAGAAGCTTTAGCATTTGTTGTATCAAAGCCAGCAAGAATCAGGAACACAACGTAATTTTACTGACAATACACATTTACTTTTAAAATAAGCCTAATCCTCAAGGTATACTCCAGTATGTTATGTATCAAACAGTACTACAGGAGCTACCACAGAACTTACACTAAAACACTAATGGATGGTGCACTACAAGTGTATTTGCATTTGTTCATCTCTATCATTAATTAGAGGAAAGGAGTCATTAAGAAACCAAAATACCTTTTTTTCTGAATAATATTTCACCCCCTGACAGCAAAGGAGAGAGTTTTTAGAGAAAATGTGGTATCAAACATATCTGGTTATATCTGTATATAACAGTGCACTTACAGAACATAAAAATTTAAATGTATGCATTTCAAACTTTACAAAGCACATTTGCTTAAAAGATCATTACTAAAAATCTGCAAATTATTATACACAAACCAAGTTACTGGAATGTTAGTTTTAGTCCACTTTATGACCTACTTACAAGGTCATGAAAACATGGCAAATAGAGAATGATCATTTAATTTCCTTATTCATTCAAAGAGACTCTCACTTAAGTAATTGTGTATTATTATATTCAAAAAATAATAAGGCTAAGTAAAAGGAAAATATTTTATTTATTCTGTTAGCTGTCATTTCTTTTCCCAACTTGATGTACTTGCTGTTTGCTTCGAAATGGCATGGTGCAGCGATGTCTAGGAACTGCTATTAAAAACTATGATTCTTATTTGGGAGGAGGTGGGATCTTAAACAGAAATGATAATTCATAGTGAAAATATAGTACCTTCTCTAAATCATTAAAATAAATCAGTCCTTTCTTTCCGTCCCTTTGGCTTGCTTATGCTCCATCATACCTGTTCTTGTTAATGAACTACTTTTAACTGCAGTTGTACTTCTTTGAGGAGTCCCTTCCAAAAGATTATGCAGGCTAGGAAAGCTCCCGGTAAGATAGCTGAGCAGACTTTCCTTTCTCGGACTTTCTTTGACTGCCATTCCAGAACGGCCAACGTGCACTGGTGAATCTGTAGCTGTATCTCCGCTGGTGTAACTTAAGGAATGATACGGATGTATACCCTTGTGAAGAAAACAAAGAAACTGATTAAGTACCGTGTAAATTGCAAAAAGGAAGCAACATTTGGTCTGAATAGGAGATTGGAACACAGTAACTACAAAAATCTCATTCCTACAAACTTTTGGACCAGTAGCACTTCATTGGGGGCAGTTTATATGCCATACAGGTATTGTGCAATAAAGGTACTATTGAATTCTCTACCATTAAAGCAAATGTATGTGTAAAAACAGTTTAAAAAGCCAAACAACAAAAAGCAAAAAGTTTGCAGAAGGAACAGTACATACCACTGAATATAAACCTCCATCTGAAGACCAAATCTCTTCCATCCCTACTATAACAGTAAGTGCAGCTTATGGAGAAGGCAAAGAATGGAAGCCGGGGACTTCTTGCACCAAGAGAAAGGCTCCTGGTCCACCTAAAAGCTTAAAACTATTAAACAGATTCTCTGCTCTCAAAATTGAGGAAGAGCCAGATGTCCTTTCAAGCAAAGCATCTGGACCACTTAACCCTAAACCATGCAGGACCAGGAGGGAGCAGTAAGTGACAGTACTGGGCAACTATCTGCTACAGGGGACAAACGCACCAGCATGTGCTGGGATCCGACCAGCTGGAGAGCAGCTTTGCAGAAAAGGACCTGGGGATCCTGGTGGACACAAAGTCAAATGTGAGGCAGCTATGTGCCCTGGACAGCCTGTCCAGTCTGGGCTGCATTAGGCAGTGAGTTGCCAGCAAGTTGAGGGAAATGATCCTAAACACCCTACTCAGAACTGTGAGGAGTACCTGGAGTACTGTGTCCAGTTGTGGTCTCCCCAGTACAAGAGAGAAATACTGGAGAAAGTGCAATGAATGGCCACTAAGATGATTAAGGGACCACAGCACCACTCATATGAGGAAAGGCTGAATGAGCTGGGACTGTTCACCCTAGAGATGAAAAGGTTCAGGTGGAATCTTGTTAATGTATATAAATACTTCAAGGGATGATCCAAAGAAGACAGAGCCAGATGGTGTCCAGTGACAAGACAAGAGGCAGTGGGCACAAACTGAAACACAAGATTTTCCTCCTGAACATGAGGAAACACTTTTTTACTGTGAGGGTGACTGAGCACTGTCACTGGTTGCCCTGGGAGGTTATGGAGTTTCCATCCCCGGAGATACTCAAAAGTTGTCTGGGCTGGACAAACGGCTCTAGGTAGCCCTGCTTGAGCAGGGGGGATGGACAAGATGACCTACAGAGGTCCCTTTCGATCTCCAACATTCTGTGATTCTGTGAAAAAACACAGCTGAAAAGGAATCAGTTCAAGCCACCAAGCTGCCTAACACAGATCCAGAAGACAACAAATTACTTGGAAAACAAAAAAAACAAAGCCCTCCCAAAACCCACAGACATTCACAGATTCCTTCTGTTCAGAAAGTAGAGATAAAAATAAAGACTTGTAGCTTACTGAACAGCTTATGGAATTAAAAAAAACCAAACCACAATAAATTTACTACAAGTTATTGTAGAGCTTTGTCAATCTTAGATTTTGTATAAAGATAGTTAAATCCTCATTTCTACTTCCATATCTAGATTAGAAGCTAGAAAAGTTAATGTACATCCTTAAATGATGCACAATATATATGAAGTTAATTAGCAAGAACACCAATCAAGAACAGATGCAGAATACACACCAACTGATCAAGTGTCACTTTTATAGGGTAAGGAGCACACTTTACATGTGTTACAATTACTTTTTAGACAAGCATTTATTCATCTGCAGCCTACAGAATTGTTTCTAAACAGACCAGCTACAGACCACTTTCTCGTCAGGCATGATGCTAGAAACTCACCTTGATTTTCAGAACAGAATCGCTGTGGGTGTGTGTCTTGGATAATTTCCTCATGATCTCAGCACCAGTTACAGGCCCAGAAGAGCCACCAGCAGGTGGAGGGCGATTCGCTGTTCCTTCCAAGAGCATTGTATGCTCACTGACAGTAGCTGGGACCAAGCAAACGATTTTGCTCATTTGAATATATATGAGGAACCAAGATTATATGTTATCAGGTACAACTATTTACAAGCAATCAGAAACTTCCTAATTCTGACACACATCTACACCTAACTGTCAAGGGGATTCTAGGGAATTTCAAGACGAATAAGAAAACCTCAGACATAGACCTACTGGAATTCATTTAATAATCAAAGTAAAAATCTTTTTGTCCTTATATCATACAACTGTTGCTCTGTGCTACAGATCCAAAGGAAAGTTGCCAAATTTCACTTTATTTTGCTGGCTCTGGTATGGCTGATAATTTTTTTTTAAATTAAGATGCTTAAATTTACATTAATTGCATCTATAAGTAAATCTACACAAGGTAGCAAAATTGCCACTTCCAAAATTCTTGGTGAAAAACAGAATAATATATGCAGGGGAAAAAAAAACCTAAAATACTTCATTGATTCTAAACAGTCTGTTTCTGCTCTGCTCAACCAAAGAAGATATTTTAGAGGAAGGGGTAAAAATTTCCATCATACTGTATGATTACTTAAAAGTTTCACACAGAAACATCTTTGTTTTTGCTCTCTTTAAGCTGAGAACTGTTCCTTGGCTTTTAACCAAAAGCAGATTCTCCTCCTGATTTTTTTAAATTATTTTTCCTCAATGTTACATAATTATTACTTGAGAAAATAAAGACATAAGCATTGTATTTCTGAGAATGGTAGCACTGTACATAGGTGCTACAAACACAAACCAGTCAACTCAAGACAGCAAAAGAGAGTGCTCCACCAACACGTACTTATTTATGCCCTTCCTGTGGTTCTTAATTAAGTCAGCTCTATATCAAACAGAAAGCTAAATCAGCTGCTTATGTTAAATTGGCAATGTGTTAGCTAGCAACAGAAATTTACCACATATGAAATAGTAAAAATGAGAAAAAAATTATGAAATTCACAAAGAACAAACAAGAAGGTAGGCTTGAGGCTATTTTTGGGAGAGTTTGTAGAATTGCATGTTACAATTTTAAACTAAGATCAGACACTGTAAAACAAAACCCTAAAGCTATAATAAAAATAATTAAATTGATGTATTTTGTGCAGTAAATAACAAGACAAAGCATGTGGAGAAAGAGGAGACTCCCGTTTTGTTTCCTCCCCCTCATTGTCTTTTTCCACAAACAAGTAATAATTATTATAATACTACAATTATAATTGTCACCAGCAGTTTCAAAATGAAGATTATTCTAAAAGAGAAGTATACATGTATCCAAACATTAAAACTAAAGAAGATAAAAGTTCTCTGAGAGGAACTACTTGTCCCTGTGAATTTTTAGGAAGGCCGAAGAACACAAAAATACCTGCATCAAATTCAAACTCTGCTCCATCAGCACTTGTGTCACTCTGAAGACCCCCGCCGTTGTCTAATCCCAGTCCATCCTCATGCTCGTGGCAGGCGTTTGTGGGCAGTTTCACTGGCTGAGTTGGTCTGTGCAAGCTGACTCCTTTGAAGGCTGGGGTCACCACAATGAACTTCATCCATTGCCTTGCTAAGGCAACGAGACCCTTCTTTAAGGTTACTAAGGCAGGAAGGCCATCACTCTTAACAAAAATAAATAAAAAATTATAAATGCCTACCACAGCATTTTAAAGCAAACCAGGACAAAAAAAGTCAGAACTCCCTTAAATCTTTGTGCTCAAGAGGCTTGTGACAAAAACATGTTGGCACCACACAATGTCCATTTAGATATAAGAAGCAATAGTGGTAAGAGACAAAAATTATAGCTTCATTGAACACAGTAAACACATTCCTTTGCATGACCTGAGGATCTAGCCCAAGGTATAAAGAATAATCAACAGCAAACAGGTTTATTAAATATGAAACTAAAATTACTTAGTAATTATAATGCTTTGAACTATGGACTAGAATTCGCAGCAGCACGCGATTGACTGTAGAAACAGAACTGAAATTAAAAAGATGAGGTTTTTTAATTGTTGGTAAGCAGTAAATAAATTTGAGCCAAGAAAAGTACGGATTGTTTTGATTACATCACTAAATTGTGCTAAAGAAAAGAAAAGCTTCTCATTTTGACCACAGATCACACACAGTGCTATTTCTGATCACTGGGCAATCCAGCTGTATACGTTAAAAAACCACACTGTTCAAATCTGACAGCCGTGGAACTGGATTATGAAAATGACACAAAATCAGGAAGAAACACTCCTGCTTATGCTTAATATGTTTGTTCAAACAATTATTACCATTGCAATCAAGACATTTACATCCTAAAGCCACCAAGAAAAAGATTAGATTCTTAAGCCTTAAAGTTTCCACAGTTCTAGCTCTTTTCTTAAACTGTCAGCATTATCTAAGTATTTCTAAAAGACATGAAAACTAGTTCTGAGGAGAGTTTGGAATAAGCTAATCGGTGCATGGACTTGCATTAATGATTGAGATTTGTTCAATTTTAAAACTAAATATGCAAATTTTTATTACTTCGCTGTTGTCTTTAAGAAAAATGAAATCTGATTAAAAGGCCATTAACAATTTTAAAGATGTGCCTTTTTGTTTTATGATTTCTCAGGTATTTACTAATAAAATAGCTCAGTAAAAATTATGCATATACACAGGCTATAACAAAAACAGCAGATCCAAAAGAAAATGAAACAAGAGAAGCCATATCCACTTACCAATTTAAGCATATATACAAGTTTGGGTTATATTTTCATGTTTGTTAACTTTCCTTAAACCGTTACCTAATTTCAGACATTAGAAGTGGTACATTTGAAACTAATACAATGAGTTATTTCCAGTTGTACAGGGTCACTCACCATGGTAGCATCCTCAATAATGGAGTAATTTGCATGATGAAGGTAGTGGTGCAATATATTACATAGTAAACAAGAAGGATTTTCTTGTAAGAAACGAGCCACTTTGGTAAGCCTGTTGTACTTGCTTCTCAGAGGAAAGTGCACACTTTTATTCTAGATTAAAACACAACAATTTTTCACATATGATCATACTTGCAAACAGAACACAGGCATGAACGACAAGATTTCACCTGATACCATAAACTTCTAACCCCATTTTGAATTTCTCCAGCAAATATTTGCCACATGAATACCTACCTTATTTTAAAAAAAATGGTAAGTGAAAAATTAATGCTTGATGCTTATTTTTATTTATAAGAAGTAATAAAATAAAAGGCTGGATTCAAATTCCAGGCTTTGCAAAGTTACTTCTGGACTAATAGCCACATACGCACAGCAAGCTGAGATTTGCAAAGGAACTGTTTATTCCCAGCTAAAGAAAAAACAGACACTTTTCTGATTTGGTTTAATGCTAGGAAAAAAGAGTAGGAAAATAAATAGGAAGGGAGGTAGCAATAAGAGACTGCTTCAAAGGATGATTTTTAAGTACAGTAGAAAACGAGTTTGGCGCTAAACACGTCAGTCCAATGATGCCAGACGGGATCTCAACCACGGGCATCACTTCACCATCTTCCCACCAGATGGTGCTACGGAAAAGATCCGCAGAAAACTGCCTACACACAAGAAAGCTCCTTAGCAAATCAAAGCAACACCAAATTTGCTCTACTGATGCCAGTTGTTAAGAAAATTAATTCTGTTTTGTGCTTCTCGCTATAATGTTTCACTCTCACTAAGCTTGTCCTCCCTTCCTCTAACAAGTGGGTTCAATAACAGGTGCACAGAAGCTCACGTCTTCTCTCAAAGGATACCCCAAATAGTTTTAGACTTCCCTATTTCATAAAATACACCAGATGCTACAGACATATTTCTTACTTTCCAGTTATTTCTCCTGGAGGTGCACTTATGTTAGAACTGTAAGTCTTCCTCACTAGTAATAGCTGAATTTTTTTCCACTGAAATTTAGATGCTGTACAAAAGGCACAGGTACTCTTGTGACCACTTCTGGAAGTACAGAGTCATAAGAGGTGCTGCAAGTTTGTCAGTGAAAATATCCAGAACCCAGATCAAATATATATACATTGTTCTATTCTGATTTGCTTATTGATTTTATAAAGGTCATTTACCTCTAAAGCTTCTGTCATAATGCAACCCATAACAGCACAAATTCGCAGGGTTCCTTCAGTTTCTAGTTTATTTAATGACGATTTCACTTGATCAATGGGAACTAGCCAAGCACCAACTGCAGGTGTTGCAGTACTCAAGAGGTTCAGCTGCCTAATGAGAAAAAATAAAAAGAATTATGTATTCACATTCAGCAGCAGCAATTAGCAAGATTTTCTAATGCTATTATGAATTACGTTCAAATAGTTAGAATGTGACAGAACAAAGTTACAAAGTAAAAAACACAGACATTGCCCAGAACATGAAAACTGCCATAAAGTACCTAAGGCAGGTTTTTTATTTCATCCGCCCTTACTACTGCTACTCCTTCCTTTTACCATTTGTATTCCCTACTGAAATCATACAGTTTAAAGTTTTCTTCACTAGCTGAATCCCACGTTAACTGTTACACAATACGTCATGAAGGACTTTTGCTCAAGGGCTATGTCAAGAACATCAGGAAAAACACAAAGAGTATTTTTCACTTCATAGCTATATATACTGAGCTTAAACTATTGACGATAGGAATACTGGGCTGCTTCTACAAACGCTGTATGAGAAACTATCTTAGAAAGTTTTACCGTAAACATTATAGTGCAATGGTAGTAAGATCATGGGTTAAGCATCAGGTTGAAGACCAAAACCACTGAGTGATTCTCTTCTCTCGCATCTCTCCTCAAAACTAATATTGCCCTGCCCTCCTGCACCTTCCTCCCTCATACATCTCATTCTCACTGAAAGATTTTTGTTGTTTATTTTTTTCCTTTTTCTTTTCTTCTTTTAATCAATACCCAACTAAAAATTTTCTAACAACACTTCCATATAAATCACAACAATAAAAAACTGAAGCAAGAGTTACTGTGATATATGTAAAATCCAAGATTCTCATTTCCAGAGAAGCTTCAAAAACTATTGAAATTACATTCAGAATCTACCAAATACAACTGTAATTTACCAAAGCAGAATTGTCATTTTCATTCTTCGAAATCAGGTAAAATTATACCTTGAAAATATATGGGCTGGAGAGCGCACATTGGTGGGGGCTGCAAAACTAAACCAAATTTCTTTGATTGTTAGCTTCATGCTGCAAGAGTCAGGAGGAGGAGGCATCAAGGGTATATCTTTTTTCAAATCATCAGATTCAACCCCTTCATCCTTAAAAAAAAATTAATCAAAGTCAAAAGATAAATTGTTTTCCAAAGTGATTACACTGAAAGGCACTAACATACCATACCGCACACTGCTCACAAGAAATAGTTCCATATGCACTTAGGCGAAGAAAAATAAGCTAATGCTGTCTGCCAATTCTCCCGCAACCAAGAGACCTTGCAGAAAGCTGAACATTTAGTGAGCAGACAGTATGAATTCAGTTGACACAACAACACATCTGTTAAATTATGTATTTTTTATGTTAATCACTTTAAAAAAAATCAACCAAACAAAAAATCCCCAAACAACCCAACACCAATCATTTCAACATAGTATGTACATACCTGCTCATCTGAAACTGAGTTTCCATTAATATCCGAAGAGGGACTTATTCTATCACAAGGAAGGTTATCGTCAGACACATCAGTATTATAACCACTACCAGTTGGAGAATCTGAAGAGTTATTTGATGCAAGCAATCCACCTCTCTCTGTAGCACCTGATTTACCCATGACTCCAAACGAATTATACAATACTGCTCCAGATTGTCTTCCTCCTATAAAAGCATACACATCAATGTTTGTAAAAGTTTGCCATGCATAAACTTCTGTAAGTTATGTCCCAAATGTTTCCAAGAGGAAAAATACATATGATTTTGGTTGACCAAGATGCGTTACCATTTTACATAATTAATCCCTACAATTTTTATTCAACATTTTAACAGGTAGTTGTAGAGCTTCTGATAAATTTGTTCCAAGTAGATGAAGACTACTCACATGAAGATATTTTTAAACACTGTTCCCTGCAAAGAACAACTTGAATGACAGAAAATATATGGTTTTTTTCTTTTTG